ATTATAACATGAAACTGAATTTTTATAAGAAAATATGGAGATAGCGTAGCTAGGTTTACACATAATTAAAAGTAAACGTTGTCTGACTAAGATTTTTATTTAAACGACCTTTCGTGACTACCTAACTGTAGTCTTGGGCGGGTAAAGCGGAATGAATTAATTACAAGCGTGCATGTGTCAGGTGATATTATAACAATAAGTGATTGGTGTGATAATTATAGCGTCTAGCCATGACATTTTTTATTAACCACCATAGCACTGCATATTGTTTAGGAAGCGACTTACAATTATTTTCATAATTTATTATTATAGCAGTATGCCAAGATTCTAGTAATGTTTTACGTGTCCGATACTTGCCACTATCAATTACTTTCCCATTATGAAAATCAATTATAAGTAATTACACGATCCATATATTCATTTGTTATACGTACAGTAGAGAGCATGAGATACTGAAAAATACACAGTGACATAATATATTTTCCATATCTTCACTAGTGAAGGTTTCGATCACGTGACTTTTGTATTTATGCAATTTCTTGTTTGATCATGAGACTATATAATCAACAAGGGCCGGTTGTATAAAACTCCTGATCGCTTTTTTAATCACTATTTTGTAGTTAAATAGTGATTAACTCTCAAATACCGCGCTTCTTATTGGATGACGTTTCCACTAACTATAGTTAACTTTAATCACTTTTTTATTCAACCGGCCTCAGAAGTTACTGTCATTACACGGTAGCTTGAAGATATGACTTTTATCTTCTCGTGTTAAAAACGGTATTTTACTCACTCGCTGCGCTGGTTTATAAAATATTGTTTTCATCACTCCAAGGCAAAAATCATATCTTCACGCCGCCGTGTAATATCCTCTATATATATGATCAAATTATATTATTATATTATGATATTATCCATGATATTAGCTATATTTGAGCCTTATGATATTAGCTATATTTGAGCCTTTGATATTATGATATTAGCTATATTTGAGCCTTTTTTATAGTTTTTTACATTTGGAATATGTTCCTTTTTTCGAGTTACAAATGATCTTCCGGTTTCGTCAACATATGAGCAAGAGCAGTCAGAGCAAGGTACATTGTGTGAAAGGCCCTGTTTAAAGTTAGTGCATTCAAGCTCTTATATTTGTATATTTCACTCCTACGATACTGTTATTTATTGTTTGCCGTGTGCATTTGATCCGTCAATTTTACTATACTCACTTAAAATATTTCAATGCTCATAATCGTTTTGCCGTGATTCATTTGAAGTTGGCATATACGTCATAACTGGTGGTGTTACATCCTCGGCAAACGTTTTCCCTCACACCTAACAGGCTAACTAAATTTCCGGCCTTGTGATCTGAAACAATTGCAACGCCAATTTTGATTGACATATGTTCTTGAATTACACAGTATAAAACATGCTAAAAATCCATTCTTGTCATTCCCTTACCGAGAATTGTCGACAAACACCACAATAATACTTTTATCCAAATTACGCTAGAAACTATGGCTTGGCATAGCGATGAAGCTGTTGAGAACAATCTCAAAAAATGCTATGAAGTTGATATCGATTGGGATTTAGTCCCAAAAAAGCTGCAAGATGTAAGTATTCATTGTTTTCTAACAATACCTACGCAGCACAGTGGTTATGTGTTTGTTTGATATTATCCTCTAACTATTGTTTAAACATCCTTTTTTCCTTTATTACAACAGCTTTGTGAATTCTGGGGCAAAACCATGAAGCAACGCAAAACTACTGTTTTACTTGGCATCTTGTCTCTTGTTTCTTTCATGCTGGGGCACGCATCACTTCATGTGAAAGATGGTTGGGAAGAACCTATTAACCAACCCTATAACATCGTGCCAGAGCCTACTGCCCGGCCTCTTTACTTTGCCACCGCGTAGCTTTCAAATGACGTCATTTCGCCATCGGTAAAATTTCTGTCCGACCGTAAACACGCTTGTCCGATGGATCCGATCGATCGATCGGACCATCTGACATTTGCCACTAACATCGTGCCAGAGCCTACTGCCCAGCATCTTCACTTTGCCACCGCGTAGCTTTCGAATGACGTCATTTCGCCATCCGTAAAATTTCTGTCCGACCGTAAACACGCTTGTCCGATGGATCCGATCGATCGATCGGACCATCTGACATTTGCCACTAACATCGTGCCAGAGCCTACTGCCCCGCCTCTTTACTTTGCCAACGCGTACCTTTCAAATGACGTCATTTCGCCATCGGTAAAATTTCTGTCCGACCGTAAACAAGCTTGTCCGATGGATCCGATCGATCGATCGGACCATCTGACAATTGCTACTAACATCGTGCCAGAGCCTACTGCCCAGCCAATTTACTTTGCCACCGCGTAGCTTTCAAATGACGTCATTTCGCCATCCGTAAAATTTCTGTCCGACCGTAAACACGCTATGGATCCGATCGATCGATCGGACCATCTGACATTTGCCACTAACATCGTGCAAGAGCCTACTGCCCAGCCTCTTTACTTTGCCAACGCGTAGCTTTCAAATGACGTCATTTCGCCATCGGTAAAATTTCTGTCCGACCGTAAACAAGCTTGTCGGATGGATCCGATCGATCGATCGGACCATCTGACATTTGCTACTAACATCGTGCCAGAGCCTACTCCCAGCCAATTTACTTTGCCACCGCGTAGCTTTCAAATGACGTCATTTCGCCATCCGTAAAATTTCTGTCCGACCGTAAACACGCTTGTCCGATGGATCCGATCGATCGATCGGACCATCTGACATTTGCCACTAACATCGTGCCAGAGCCTATTGCCCAGCCTCTTTACTTTGCCACCGCGTAGCTTTCAAATGACGTCATTTCGCCATCGGTAAAATTTCTGTCCGACGGTAAACACGCTTGTCCGATGGATCCGATCGATCGATCGGAAAACCTGACATTTGCCACTAGCATCGTGCCAGAGCCTACTGCCCAGCCTCTTTACTTTTCCACCGCGTAGCTTTCAAATGACGTCATTTCGCCATCGGTAAATTTTCTGTCCGACCGTAAACACCCTTGTCCGATGGATCCGATCGATCGATCGGACCATCTGACATTTGCCACTAACATCGTGCCAGAGCCTACTGCCCAGCCTCTTTACTTTGCCACCGCGTAGCTTTCAAATGACGTCATTTCGCCATCGGTAAAATTTCTGTCCGACCGTAAACACGCTTGTCCGATGGATCCGATCGATCGATTGGACCATCTGACATTTGCCACTAACATCGTGCCAGAGCCTACTGCCCAGCCTCTTTACTTTGCCACCGCGTAGCTTTCAAATGACGTCATTTCGCCATCGGTAAATTTTCTGTCCGACCGTAAACACGCTTGTCCGATGGATCCGATCGATCGATCGGACCATCTGACATTTGCCACTAACATAGCATTGTTTAAAAACATGGACACTTAGAGAAAAAAACATTGGAAAAGTATAACGGTCCGACTTATTTGTCATGCCTGACTGTTCCAATAGTTCTTATATTTATGTTATGAATTAATATCACGTTATGCTCTATTTGTCTACGTGTATTTCTCCATCGGGCAAACTTTTTTCCGACGGTAGACATGTTTGTCCATCGGATCAATCGGTAGCACATGTATGATGGATTTCTCCATCGGACTCCGATCGTGGGTATTGGACATCAATCGAGTTTGGACATTAGAACATTGCAATTGCCTGACAGAGACTGTTAGGGCCTGTTTGTATGGAAGCCGGGCTGGCCCTCTTAGCAAGACAGCCCGGTAAGGTATAGGTAAGCAGGATGATTTCTCTTGTGTTTATTTGAGAAAATTTCATTCCGCTTACCGGGACAATTTTGTTGTTTTCATTGACATTATTTTGACAGTTGTTAAAAATAGCTTGCGGCAGTATCTTTGAACTTTCATTCCGGCAACCGGGCTAGCCTGCTTATGATTGTTTATGTGGAGAAATTTCCATCCTGGTCTTGGCAACCGGGCCTGCCTGCTTGTCCATAGAAATGATAATTTGTACTATAAAAATAACTAGACCACTTAGTGGGCCAGCCAGTTTCGATATAAACAGGCCCTTAGACAACTGCTAAAAGCTGCAAGTTTTAAAGCAATATCATCTATATCACAGAATACTAGTGACATACTTTGTGTTTTTTCTGTTATTTTTGTACAATACCTTTTTGAAATTGTTGATACTGGTCTCATTGTAACTCAGTTATTCCTTCTCAAGAAAAATAAAAAAAAACAAAGCTGTGTGGGTGTGTTTTTGCTCCAGCTAGTTTTTACATTTACATGGTTCATGTACAATTAATGTACATTTAAATTAGCTTTGTTCAATGAATACAGGTGCGATTCAAATATCATTCCTGGCAGGTACTTGGGTCAAATAGACATAAGCATACTAAATCATGCTGTGAATTGAAATACAAGTATAGGATGTATATTGTTTAATAAATATATTTTCCAGTTAACCCAGTAAGCTGCATTGTGCCCCAATGCACCCTACTTTACTAGTTTATTTCACTTCATCTAATGCCAGATGATTTTACTTATCGAGGGAGAGTGCTGCTGCTCATTGAGCTCTGATTGAGTTCACTGAGTGGCAGCACTTTTCCCCTTGACGAGTGAAATTGTCTGGCGTTAGACGGAGTAAAATAATCTTGCATTCAATCAATCAAGCAGCTACTTTTTCAAAAGCTCAACCAGGCTAAAGATTCTTTGATTTGAAAACCAAAGTGATAGTAAACTAGTTAGTTGAAACAAACAGAATTGTTTGATTTATTTACTTTCCACAACATTGACAATTAAAATTTAATTTGATACTTTTCCAGTATATTGACATTATATAGGTTCAGATTTGACTACCATTACCATTACTGTCGTTCCAATTGAAGTGTTCCTCAAATATTGATTCAATACATTACATCGGGCTGACCAATTCATTTCATCAAGTTCCTCGAAATATTCATACACTTCCTAGTATAATTGTAAACTTCCTGTTGAATAGTTTGAATGCACCAATCACCTTTGTTGTTTGTGCAACTAACCAATCATAAATAGAAAGGAACAGGGGCGGCGGAACAGGGGGGCTAAAGCCCCCCCAGAAAATTTGAATTTTTTGAAAAAAATTTTGATAATTAGGGAAAAATTTAGGTTATTTTTTGAAAATTTAGGTATAAGGGGGAAAATTTGCAATATTTTGTTTAAAAAAAGTTATTTCCGAAAAAAATTTTTGACATTGGAATTGGCTCTTTCACAGGAAGTGTATGAATATCTCGAGGAACTTGATGAAATGAATTGGTCAGCCCGAGGTAATGTATTGAATCAATATTTGAGGAACACTTCAATTGGAACGACACTAAGGGACCATCAACCAATCAAATGCATTTGATATATTCGATCAACCAATGTGAGTTTATTCATAAACTAATTATAAATCAACTTCCATGCAATGCTTTATGCAATCATCTAGTTATGCACCAGTCAATGCAAATCCCTGCCCCCAACCGGGGAGAGCGGAAGGTTTATTATTATTATTATTATTATTAATGGTTTATTTGCATATTATCGCATTGAAAATGAATTACAATATGCTTACATGGAAATATACTAAAATTTACAAAAATGCTAAAATATTAATTACTATATCTAATATAAATGTTAAAACCTAATATACAAATTAAGACCATAAAGGCCTATACGTCAACTTGACTATAGCACATTGCCGGGATAAAACTGTTCTTAAACCTCTCAGTTCTACATTTGGAAAGCGATAATTGATTATTATTTCTCAAACTCCGTCCATGGACGTTTCCACGAGTTGACGGCAACAAGTGGTACAGTTTCGAGCAAGGATTAGCAATCTTTTGTAAGGTATTCTGACATATTGACTGCCTTCTATCATCAAGGCGAGAACAACGACTGATAGATAGAGCTTCCGCATAATCAGTGAAAGGGTACAGAATTCGCAGAGCACGTTTCTGCACCCGTTCAATTTTGTTGGAAAGATACTGAGGTAGGCTGGTATGCCAGATTGCACAAGCATATTCCAAAACAGATCTGATTAAGGCGTTATAGATTGAGAGCAAGTCAGCGGGTGGAATTCCGGATCGACGCAACACCCGAAGGATGTAAAGGCGTTTCGACGCTTTTTTTACGATAATTGCAACGTTATCATTCCATTTAAGGTGATTATTAATAGTCAAACCCAAAATCTTGAAAGATGTAACCAGTTCCAATTGTTGATCATTAATGTGTAATGGAGTATAGTTATCACTTTGTCGTAAAAAGCTGACAACCATTTCCTTGCATTTCAACCCATTCAGTTTCATATCATTCTCACATGCCCATTGTTGGAGTTCATTGAGTTCAGTTTGTAATCGCGATTCCTCAGTTTCTTTTATAACCTCAGAAATCGTTACATCGTCAACGTATTTCCAATGAGAGGAGTTTAGGGACTTCATTTTCAGATCATTAATCATAACTAAGAACAAGATAGGGCCAAGTTTTGTTCCTTGAGGGACACCGCCATTTACATAAGCCCACTCCGAGCGAGACTCATTAATTTTCACTGCCTGACGACGATTTGAAAGAAAATCACATATCCATGGGATCAATCATCTTCTTACTCCAAGGGCTATGAGTTTCGCAATCAAAATGTTATGGTTGATTCTGTCAAAAGCTTTGGAGAAATCCAAAAAACAAATACGTAGATACCGTTTTGGGCTATCCAGTGCCTGCAACCAGTTGTTAATCATATCAATAAGGGAGAATGTTGTAGAAGATCCCCTTAAGCTACCAAATTGCTTCGGATCGATTTTGTCTTTGACATCATCAATCATCCAGGTAACAACGAAGTCTTCCAAAACTTTTGACAGAGTGGCAGTGAGGGCAATTGGACGGGTTTCATCCTCACACGTTATCGGTTGGGCTTTCGGGATTGGGATGATGTTAGCATCTTTCCAAGGTATAGGGAATTCAGAGTGCAATAAAGACTTGTTGAAGATTTTGGCCACCGGATCAGCTAACTCTTGAGCATATTGACTAAGCACTCGATTAGGAATACAATCAGGGCCGTTGGATTTAAATGCCTTTATTTTGAGCAGTTTAAAACAGACCTGTGCGATTGAGATAGATGGTGGGGGTTCGGGAGCTGGAAGGTACGCAGGCAAAGTACCAAGGTCGAGAGGAGGAAGGTCAGCGCTGGCT